CCCCCCCCCCCCCCCCCGGGCCAAAATGTAACCAATGACCTCAACAGCTACATGTATCTCTTCATATTGAAAGGTGAAGTAATTCCTACCTCAATTAGTATACATTCTCTGATAATTTTATGACACATCAAATTTTGCTAGTCATAGAAATAAAGAGTCTGGCAAGGCTTCTTAAAAAAAAATGCACCTTATTTAACCTTGATGTAAGATAAAACAAAATAATGTTTCTATCTTTTCCAGAATGTCTTGTTCAACAGGCTACATTTGGCAGTACACCAAGTACTTTGATATTGTCATATCTTAATCATGGGATTGCTACCAAGGTATTATATAAGAACATAACACAAACACTGTGGCCAGACTTCATATAAAACTCTTTGAAGAAGAGTCAAAGGCACCAACCTATCATGCCACCATGTTTGTAGGATACATTTAAGTAGTGCACTTGCATTCCACTTTGTTTTCACACCGCTCAGTAACAGACTCAAGCACTTTGCCCCTTGCTGGTTTGTACCACCCATCCCTCACTAAGTCTCTTCCTCCTTCTCTCCATTTTTCTGTTACTAAGTGAACTGTGCTCTTACCATGACTGACCATGAACCCAGTTCATAAACATTCAATAATATTTGGTTATACAGAAATGTGAGATGTACAAAGTGTGTAAAACATTTATTTATACGGAACACCATAAAAATATAAGAGCAACACTGATGAGGTCATGTCTAAAAAAAAAAAAACTAGCTAAAAGACTAGTATCCAAAAGGTATTTAAAAAGAAGAGAATTATTGATTACAGAAATAATATGATTAAATATACAACTATAGAACAATAAAAAGACTTAAAAGCTAGGTCTGTATTATTTTGAAAACTGTAAAATTCATGTGACAGTTTCCTATTTTTTCTTTTAAAAGCGTCAAGTGAGTCAATACTTCTAACTTTATTTACTTCTTAGACATCACAATTCACACTTTTACAATATATATTATGTATATGAATTATGTATGTAATAAGTATATTATTATTTTGCTTTTAGGTTATTTCCTGTTCATCAGCTTTGACAGCAGTCCATCAGGTATGAAGTAGTTTTTATGCTAGTTGGAGCAATAACGGAGAATCTGGGATAGAAGAGGTTCAATTGCTTGATAAGTAACTGATAGATTGGATGATTTTTTTAAAATGATGATTTGGTGATCTAAGAGCTTACTTTGACCCCTATACTTGGAACCCTATACTTGGAACTCTATACAAGTTTGGACCCCTATACTTGGACCCCTATACTTGGAACTCTATATAAGTTTGGACTCCTATACTTGGACCCCTATACTTGGAACTCTATACAAGTTTGGACCCCTATACTTGGACCCCTATACTTGGACCTCTAAGCTTAATCTAGGCAGGAACATGTTTATATGGAACTTGCTGCACTTGATCCAGATGCCAAGACCTTAAGTGAAATATTTTCCTGTTCAGCCCTCTCACTATTCTAAGCTGATAAACTCAGGCCATGTAACATTGGGAATATTAAAGATTCTCTTAGGTCATTCTCTCTTGATGTAAAGCAGTACATTTTCACTCTTTGTTGGTTCTCTTTAGTTTCAGAATGTTACAAAGCACAAGTGCTTGTCAGCTTTATTGGATCTCCTCCTTAGTTTTGTTCCAACTATAAGGTAGTGTTGAACAACTTTTAATTTTCATTATTAGAAAACTGGTTGTTTCTTTAAAAAGTGGGTAAATTTAAACCTGCAGTAACAGCTGAAAACGATTGTATTGGTAATAATAGTGATATAATAATGATATTCTAGTATTCTTTTGGTGAGAATGTTCGTAATTCTGTGTAAAGACAGCAAATTTATTATTGATGTTAACTCCTGGAGCATTATAAGAGGATTAACCACTTTAACTGCTTTGTTTAGTTGCCCAGAAAGAGATGAAGAATGTCTGAAGCTGGCAGTTTCCTTGGTCAAGATAGTCTACTGGCTTCTAATTGTTGTTACAAGGCTGCTGAAATTGTGTATAGAGGTGAGTGGATTATAACAACTTGCACTACTATTGAAATCATAAAATTACAGAGTATATGACAGGAACAGGGACCTGTAACATGATGGGTTATTGACCAAGTGTGTAGTTGAGATGGCGTGATATTGGTCAAGCTCTTCTTTTTTGTGTGCTTATGGACTGAGACCCAGTGAAGGTTGATAAACATGTGAAAAAGAACAAGACTGTCAGTATCCAGCCATCTTGACCATATACTGTAGGCTTGTTCAATAAATGGTTTGTTATATGGCATAAACAACACCATTTTCTTGCTTGAACTACTCGGTAGTCCTGAGTGGGCAGGACAGCGCATCTTTTTTGTCAGGTAGCCAGTTACTGGACAGGATTTGGTTAGTCTTGCCCCCACTCACAGTGCTAGCCATGTATTAAATTGTAGTAGGTTACTGAAGCACAGTTGAACTTAAAAACACTTGTTTACGTAGTGAATCAGTTAGAATGTTACAACTCATTAACCTTGCTACTGTATCTTGTGTAACACATAGTCAGTACGTCTGTCTGGAGGTGCAGATGCACCATTTCATGTGTCTAATGTTGGAAAATGCAACAAAGCTTTTGGACATGTCATGGGCTCTTCATCTTACAGAGCTATGGTCATTGTAGGAAAGATGGAGGAGCATGGTAAGTAAGCTGGTACACTGCATACACATGACATAACCTATGGGCGGTTATAGGTGCACTTCCCGAGTCAATGAAAGATGTCCTACCAAAGGAATCTTAAGAGATCCACAGTCCGAACTTATTATTTATAAACATATGATAAAAATTGGTTAAAAAAAGACCAAAAGAGGTCAACTATTGATATAATTTATATGCCAAATTTCGATACAAATAGCTAGATGCAAACTTTTCTATAGATAATCACACAATTTTGAGTGCAATTAGGAATAAATAGGCACAAGTAAATTTTTCCAAAGGCTAATAAAATCGCACAAGCCCATGGGGCAAGTGCGATTTGTAGTCGATGAAAAATTTACAAGTGCGAAAAAATTCATGGGTTTACTGATATACATGAAAAGATTGAAGCTGACAATTACTCCACAGTACCACATCTACAATACTTTATTTTAAGGTGGAGCACATATATATGTAAGGATGGTATGTACTCAAGTGCTGGGTAATCAGAACAGCAGGATCAAGCGAGTCACCAAAGTTGCATGAAAGTCTTGGGAGTTGATAGCTTCTCCCAGCTAGCTTGCATCAGTGATCCAGCAAATAGGTCGTTGCTGAGCTTGTTCGTGTGACATGATTTACTCACCAAGTGATTGACTCACCAATTATTGTTTGATGGCAATGTTTCTCATTGAATGATCTGTTAAGACATTCCACAGTTTCAAAGGACTACCTTTGTTCATAAAAAGAAAAGTAGAAAACGAGCATGATAAGAATTTCCTGAAAATGAACCCCATGACCCTTGAGTTAATATGAAAAGTCAGTTCTCAGCCTTTCAATGAAATCATTATCCAAGTTCAGTTGCTGACAGCCACTTTAATTTTTAACAAATTTGGTTACTAAATGGAGTGCTTCATGTTCCTCATTAGCCATGGCATCAGAATTGGACCGACAATTGCAAGCACATCTCAAGGACCTTATCATGACACAGACAGTTGTCCCTGAAATGCAGCCCTACATTAAAGAACTTATGGTTAATTTCAGCAGGTACAGGACATGATCCAATTCACATTATACCATATATACATGTTTACTTTGTTTTACTTTACTTTGGCCCATTTCAGTTACTTTGCTTTCCATTAAATCACTTCACTCCATTCACTTTGCTTTACATCTCTTCTCCTCTTCTCACCTCACCCAGGGCTTGAAAAAGTGCTGTTCCATTGTTCCAGACAAGCAGATTTTCCTTCTGGGCAAGTAACTTTTCATTCACTTGCCTGATGGGCAAGTGAAGATTGCATTTACTTGCCCGATGGGCAAGTGCCCAGGCAAATCGTCTGTCAACTAAAACATTAAAAGAGCACTCTAAGACTTGCCCAGGGCAAGCAAAATTTGAGAGCTACTTGTCCCAAGGGCAAGCTGGAATTCAAGTTTTTTTTTTTTCAGGCCTGCAGTCACCACACTGCACTTCACTCTCCAAGGTTAGCTTCCCTTCTCTTCTCTTTCTTGTCCTTTCTCTACGCACTTGACTTCTCTTCTCTTCTCACCGTTTGCTTACATGTACCTGTCCTAAATGAGAGAATTTCAAACTGTGGAGTGTCCAGTATGATCTCTAAAAACTCTCTTAAAAATACAAGTGTATAGCATCTGTAACAAAGTTCATTACAAAGGAAAAGTCAGGAAGGATGTTAAACAAAAGATTGTTTAATCATGTACTTTTATCAACCATTTAAATTATTTTTAATGTTCTGGTTTGTGTGTTTGTTTGTTTTGTTTAAGGTTGCAGAGTCTAAACTTGTCATCTGGTAGTAGTGATATCAGTCCAGGTCATGTTCCAAACATGTCTGTCCAGATTCTCACTCAGTTTCAGGTCAGAACAAGTGGCAGTATTAAATGAGATTGCATAGTCAAGTGTTGTATTGTTTCATGAATGTGAATTATTGTTGTGACTTATGTGTCTTTTTTCATTCCAGGTTTTAGTGAGTCCTTCGTACACTCCAAATCAAGTTGCTGATGTGATGGATTGCATCATGCATGCTCAGGTACACAATATTGAATAGTTAGGAAGTGTTATTAAATGTATGTGTTCTTCTAAAGAGCTGAAAAGCCACAAAAAGTACAGAATGGGCCATAAATTGCTGGCACAGACAAAATATGACATCCATCCTGAAATTACAATGCTTACTTGGGCCCAGAAGGTAATGCTTTTATGAAAGTCAGTCTATGACCAACTTTTGTTTCGTTTGTGCAGAATGTGGCAAGACATCAGTTGTACTTAGAGTTTCTGAGATCAGCCATAGTGGGCCTGTTAGAAGCTCCTGAGAAATCAATGGAAGAAATATTATGGACAGGGTTTCTGTTTTTGAAGGTAATTAAGTAAATGTCACTAGACCACTATAGAAACTAGGATAGTGCAGGATGAGTCTGTAATTCTTGGTATCCTCTTTTGATCCAGTTGAAGAACTAAATCCCTTCACGTAATATCTTTGTGAAAAGAAAGTTCTTTAAGATACATGACATTATACAGTTAGTGTTTTACAAGCAACCGATCATGACAAGCAGAAAATACCAGACAAAATCTTGTAGCCTCAAGATAAGATGCTTTTTAAAAAAGATAGGGGCAGGGGGAAGGGGTGGAAATAATGTTCAAAGTTAACAAATGTGAACCTGAACTGCATTAATCTTGAACATGAACCCAGAAATTCGAAAAGAAATGGCAAATTCCATACCCCTAAAAATAGTGGTGTAATGATTTATCGAATTCTCGATTAATTGCAATTATGACTATTCAGTTTGATTCACGATTCTTTGATTCCATGGTTAAATTTTGGTTCGATTTTTTGCATGTCTTTCCCAGGGTGCCCTCAGTGAGTTATTATATTGTGAAATCAGAATATGTAACTCTTTAAAATGTGCGTTTTTGATTGACGGGCAAAGGCGTTTGCAGTTTTTGTTCCATTTTGTGTTGCTTGGTAAAAATGTTGCCCTTCTACCATGTAGCACCCTTTGAGAATTTCCAAATAAGGCAAACCATGTGCAACACGCTCATTGTCACATTCTCAAACATGGTGATGAATGGCTAAGCGATTGTGAATTCACCTGCATCTTTTAGATCCACTGTGTGGAAATACTTTGCATAGTTGAATTGAAATTATCGAAATCAAAAGGCAATAATCAAAATTGAATCAAATTGCTAGGAATATGAATCGTTACACCCCTACCTAAAAATCCTTTAATACCAACCTTACAAACCTCCTTTTACAGCTCAAACTTCCACAGGGTCAGTCTTGGCAATTTTTGAAAGCAGTCATGTGTCAATCTGTTTGTAGGTTCCAATTGTGATTCGTCTTTTGGAGACAAGATCCCAGCCTTCTGTGCAACTCCAGCCAAACCCTGGGGAACACTCCACAGCGCACAATGCATTTCAACAACTGCTGCAGTTTGCTCCCCTGCTGGATGATGCAGACCTCAAGTGCAGGTTGGGCTTTTTTCTGTCAGTGGCAATGTGATAATAACAGTGCTTATTATATGGCTAGCTCCATGAGCAGGCAAGATGAACCAAATCTTGCACTGTGATTGGCTGCGGAGTGGGCAAGATGACACTATCTTGCTCCCTTGGGATTAAACACTGTTCCCCACAAGAAAAAAATTCCCCTAAGCGGAGGCAGGTTCACCAACATGCATAAAAGAACTTGGCCAATATCCATCCATCTTGACCTCACGCTTGGTCAATAACCCTTATAGGAGTCCATGGCAAGCTCTCAAATATGACAACATCAGGGAAACAGTGGTTGTAACTGGAGGTGGTTGTTTACTGGAAGAAAACCTCTTCAGCGACCAGCCACTGAAAATGTAGAAGTCATTCCCCAACATGTACAAGAACTTCCAACACACCAAGAGATTACCCTTTCAACAATATACAAAACTATATTTAAGAAATAGAAAACATGTACCATTGTTCAATTACAGACTTCTCAAACTATTCTATTATAAGGTTTCTTTATGACTGCTGATTGTGCTTGCTGACTTGTAGGTGTAACTGCTATAAAGAACTGATTCAACAGTATTGCAAAGACCTCAATCAGCAGACTGGAGATAGGATTGGACAACTTGTCTCTCAGAGGTTAGTTGCCCTGACTACATTTACATCTAACTGCAAGCAACTTCATTTAGCTACTTGTGCGTTGCTTAGGACATAAGTGGCAAAGTTGAATAACGTTATGCCACTGGGACGTGCAGTGCTGAATTGTTAATGTGACATGGTAGGCAAAACTGAGAGGATTAAGCTACATCCAAATGGTGACCCGGTTTCACAACTCGTTTTACAAGTTTGCTCATAGCACAGTTTGTTACAAAGATAACAAAGGATCTCAAGAGTTGTGACTGATAAACACTATCAGGCAGTTCCCCCTTATCCTAACTAAGGTTCTCAAAATTGTATGGCTGTTGCTTTGCCTTGCAGACCATTGTCAGCTGAAGTACAAAATATGTTAAGCAGCCAGTTAACTTTTAACAACCCTGCACAGCAAATCCAGGATGAAGGTTTATTTACAATCTGACTGAAGTTTCTTTTTGATTCCCTCTGTTTTCTGAGTCTGTGTTAAGACTAAAAGGTAATGTAAAATTCATTATTTTGGTTTCAGAAAGCAGAATTTTGGAAATAATTGGGGTAAGTAAAAGAGAAGCTTTGTTAGGCTCCATACCCCCTACAATATGGATTTTTTTTTTCTCTGTGTGTGCTCAATTAAATACGAGAAAGGTGCAGAAGGGTGCTGTCGTATTTATGTTCACCACATTCATTATGTTCGTCTTTATGGTCATCATCATTATTAGTGCTGACCACAACTATAATTATAATAATTCTTAGTTTCTCCGCTTTTAACTGCTGCCCTTGCAGGCACTGGAATCCGATCTCAGCAGCAGGGATGAGAAATTTCTGAACCCTCTGAAGAATGTGGAAAAGTTTAAATGGATGACTGTGGCAGCAGCAAGCGTGGGAAAACTTCAAAACCTTATAAGAGGACTTGTTAAGTATGAACTGAATTATAAGCTTTGTGCGTAATTGAAAGTGCAGTTGAAGTCAGGGCATTAATGGAAATCGTTTTTGTTGTTTTTTTGTCATGCACAGTCTTGACTGTTTACATTTGTTTTGTTTTGTTTCTCGATAGAATTACTGACCAAACTGTTCACGCTGCTACAGACAAAGAAGATGGTTAGTCTAAAGCTTTGTGCATAACTGGTTTTTAAATATTCTTTCAGTTTATTTCTTTCCCTATACTAAAGAAAGCAATTTTACTGTAATTCCACTGTCCTGAAGTCCAAATCAAACTTATCCCAGCAAATGGAACAACCAGCATTAGTTGGAATATTTTGAATGCATTTTGGTAACCAATCACAACACCGCTTCGACCAATATCACTATTAATGTTCTTCCTTATACTAAGTAAGGTTTGAACCCAACAAGCAGAAGGTAGCTGTGGTCAATCATGTTTTATTTGTTGCAGTTAAACGAGGAAACATCAGAGGAGAGCTGTTCAACACTTCTTTTCTATTGCTGTGTCATATTGGGCAGGTGTATGGTCGAAAGGTGGGTTTTAGTTTCATTACCTTCTAGAGAAAGTTTTCAGTTGTTCACACTAGCAGGTGTGGTTGAATTCTCGATACAGCATTTCTTCTGTCCGAGGAAAATAAGAAATTCTTTCTACGCCATTTCACTTTTTTTACCCCCTTGATGCCTCATCATGTGCAGTATTGATGTGCTTGATCGTGTGTCTTAACGATATACTCCTTTACTTTATAGATAGGAGCCTGTGCGCGCTCTGATTGGTCAACAACCCATGTTTTATCAGAGTATAACACAGAAAAAGCGTATTTTATTGTCTTTCGCCACATTACCTCTAAATCATAAAGCAAATAAAGAAGCCTAAGCCGTGTATTACAATGTGAAAAAACACTCTGGGCATTTGAGAACACTCGAGAAATGTAGAAAACACTCGCCTGCGGCTCGTGTTTTCCATATTTCCCTCGTGTTCTTAAATGCCCGTCATGTTTTATCACAGTGTAATACACGGCTTAGGTTTCTTGATTTGTTAAATAAAGACCCAATGGTTAGTGCGCTAACTTCGGAACGAGCCCTGGGCAGGGTCATTTTGTTGTGTTTTTGAGCAAGACGCCTTTCTCTCGCAGTGCAAGGTGCAAAAGAAAAACTTAAACCAATTTTCGGGCTTGCACTTCCGGCAAGCTGTGACTATAATGGCCCCAAAAATTTCATCTCTTGTAGTAGTTCTTTACAGTAAATGGTTTGAACCCAGGAATATCAGTAGTTCGAAGACTCTAAAGATGACTTCCGCTCAGGTTGTGTAAACGTCAGTCACCAACAACAGTTCTTTTCAGAACTACCCTCACCCGGACGATCACATTATACGAAGTAGTTCTTTAATTGGAATTTCCTCAAAAATTCTCCAGGAAACTTCACTTGCCCATCAGGCAAGTGAAGACAGAATCCATTAGCCCTGGGCTATCGGACACGACGTTCTTTGCTCGCTGGAGTGCCTCTCTCCACCCCGGAGTATAAATGGGTACAGCTGAATTTAATGCTGGGGGTAATCCTGCGAAGGACTAGCGTCCCATCCAGGTTCAGAAGCCGGATGACTGATGCAATTTGTTCTTTTTTTCTTGGCCAGGTTGTACTGGACGTTGCCAAGAATCGGTCACCTGCTCCATTTGTTATTCAATGGATCTCTCGCCACATTCCAGACATTGACAAGTGGAGGTCATTTATTCCTGATACACAGCACTCGCCCAACCAAGCGGCAATTAACGAACTACTCGATCAATTCTTCAGTAACTCAGCATTTCCTGCAAGGTACAATCATACATGCTGTAATCATTTGACAGCGCTTAACTCAGAAAAGGCTGACCAGGCCGGTCACTTTGTTGGTTAAATTTGTCGTAAGCGCCGGTACACTCAGTCCAAGACTGCGCACAACGCTACGCACAATTTCTGGGTTGCACCTTGTGCCCAGCTCTTGAATTGTCGTGTGTCACATCACATGCAACAGTTATAAAGTGCTAGATATGTTCATTTTGACACCAAAATCTTGTGTATAGTTAACTCATGATAGTTTCAATGCACTTGTTTATCTAAATTTTCAGGGAAGTGGACCATTATTTTTTTTATCATTTCCATCAGTAGAAATATATTTTGGGTTATGACCCATAAGAACTTGCTTTGCCCTTTCATCTTTCTTCAAGTTAGCATGTTCTTGTACTTATTTCGCAGCCAAGCCAACTGGGATGAACACTGCACGAACGTGTCCAGTGCCTTGCATCATGTACTGAAGGCGTGGCAATGTGACTCCAAAGCTGTACCTCCTGAGCAGTTACAGGTAACGCTAGGTCAGATAGAATATCACAAATGGGACGGTTTTAAATGACAGTGGTCGAATGAGCCAAAACCAGATCTTCTTCCTCCTCAGGTTCAACTTTCCGCGATAGTTTCAAAAACTTCTCTTATTTAGACTACCCTTTGAGAGCAGAATTTTAATATACTGTAAGGCCATGGATTGTATTTGGAGGGAGGGGGGCTTAATGCATTTGATTTTTTTTTGGTGGGGGTGGGGGGGGCTTAATTTTTCGGGGTATGTATCCTGTTAATGCAGACGGATGCCCGCCTGTTCTTTCACGCCGCTTGCAAAATGGCTTCAGAGAAAGGGGAGTTGTTTATTATCGGATCTTTTTCCTTGATAGGATGACAGCGTTCCTTGACGACTCTCTGAGACTTAACCCAAACGATCACTGTTTTTTACATTATTTTTTTTCGGTAGAAATTGTGCGAGCTTCTCAAGTACGAGGCACCTGCGCTGGCCGTTTGTGCTTGTTCATGGAGCTGTGGACATATTTATACTCTGACTGCAGAAGAAAGAAAACACCCCTTGCGGTAACACTCAATCTCTCTCTCATTTATTTAGTCCTTTAGTGTACTCTATCAGTCAATGCTAAGAAACTAAAGTACTCTATAGTGCTAAGATATTAAACTGCTCAGGAGATGTGCTTTTTAAGGCAACAAATACAATATGGTGATATGACGGCGTTAATGACGCCAAGCCGCTTTGTGAGTGTGGTGTTAATCGTCGCGGAGGCACGCGTGCGTACTGCGTGGAACATTTTCTTTCTACAAACAAGCTTTGTCGTTCTATCAGAGCGGCTCATTTATCTGTTACGGAGGGTTTAGTTTTGATTTTTTGACTTTTAATGCCCCAGCACATATTTTTATTCGTGTAGCAATAGTTGTGTATCAGTTAAATACGTCCTTGTTTGAACAGCAACACCATTTTGCATCTGTGCCAGCTTTCTACTCTACTTTTGATCGATTTTAAGATTCCCTTCATCACTTCCAAGGCTCTTATTGTGCTTTCGGTTGACAATCATTTTCTCTCGTTCCCTATTTTTTTCAAGGAAGTGAGCTTAACATTGGTCATGTTTCAATATACCCATTGTGACCTCCTAGTTAATGCTTTAAACATTTTTACTATTCTGTTTTTTTCTTTCGACAGGTTAGTGGGTTTTCTCCTCAATCCTGTCAATCCCAAAGGAATGCCCAAGGAGTTTGTAGACAGGTAGACTATCTCAATTTTCTACCTAAGACCCTTTGAAAAACCGGTTTCTTCCGACTTAAAACCAGTTTGTTTGTGACTCGGAACCGGTTTTTCAAACCTACGTCATTAAAATGGAAGTTTTGGAGTCAATTCTCAAACGATTTTTCCCAGCGAAGAACGCAAAGAGATGAAGACGTTTGTCTCAAAACCGCGTATGAAAGCTGCAAACTGACTGATCAAACTTGCCTTGTTTTACAGCTGTGCTATGTTGTTAGAAGTCATGAAGAGAATGTCGTCCAGTGTAGAAGGAAAAGGTGAGAAGTCATTCTTTTGTCGGACTGAGACACTCTTGTGTTGTCGTTGGTGTCTTTAACGGAACAACAACAACAACAACAACAACAGTTTATTTCTACTACTGTAAACAACTAAAAGAATTTACAAGATTATAATTATAAATATATAAATAAACAGTACAGTACATACAGTAGTGGGACACCCAAAATAACTAAAAAGCTAAACTAGTTGGGTGACCGTAATTGTAATAATTAAAAATGTAAGAGTCAAGAAAGAGGCACAACAAATACATTGGTACACTTAAATAGGCTTTATTTACCCTTTTAATCAGAAAATTAGCCCTTGGGCTTTTATGCTTAGCTGTCCGCCGGAGGCTTGCGGCATTGTTAAACCTCTAATGTCAACCTCTGACTAAAACTAGGTCGTCTCATGTGATTCTGATGGGTGGTGTCTAGCCGAGAAATGCAATTACTAACTCATTCAGTCTGGTGTTCTACCCTGTAATATCACAAGCAGACTCAGGATCGCTTTTTTAACTTCAGATAACACATGGGATGATAATGCAGATAAACCGGTATCAACTGGCAGGCCTGTGTCCAAGGTAAGTCATTAGGTAAACACAGACAACAATTTAAATTGATGATTATACCTAATCGTATCTTTTTGGTACGCGTCGGCGGCACATCAGGCGATATGTCAGGCGAGACACAGTCAAGGGAAAATACTCATGTGAGATCTAACGAGCCTAATATGCCATCGAAAAAGTATTAAAAAAACTGCGATTGGGTATTTGCCAGAAGCATATAACTTTGATTCGGAGTTATATGCTCCTGGTATTTACTTAACACGGCAAAAAATACTGGCCGAATCAATCAGTGACTTCAGTGATATCGCAGGATATCAGGACAGTAGGCAAGGCTTCTGATTGTCTCTGAGTAAAGTAGAACTGACTATTGACAACTTATGAAACTGACTTCCTAGGTGATGCTAATCCTTTTGTGAAAAAAAAAAACGAAACCTGGACTTCAGGAGCCTGGCGTTTAATTTGAATGTCTCTTCTGTTTCCAGACTCTTGGAACTTTGTTCACAGACGTTGTCAAGGCGCGGCAGCTCAGTAATAGGACACTTGAACAGTTCAGGCATCTGTTAACTACAGGAGGAAACGAGTGGTTTATTTACAATATCATCAAGGTAATGTCTTATCAAGTTTACGGTTAACTTAATGTTTGGCTCGGTATCTACCGCTTTCTCTAATCTGGGTTTATTTTTCCCGGCGGTGCTGGTGATTGAGCCTGACACATTGTAGAAGGGATATTCTGCGAATCGTGAAATCTGATTGGTTCCGCTGGAGAATAGACGGTGTTCCCCTGTCCTCTCCAGATCGTGGTATCTTATGCTGTTATCTGAACTTGTAGGAGCGCGTACTAAAAAATCATGTCAACTGCGTACAATTATTTTCAAAACAAATTAGGAAAAAAGGGTGATTGAGCCTGACACATTGTAGAAATGGTATTCTGCGAATCGTGATATCTGATTGGTTTCGAGTATAGAAGGTTTCTCCACGGTGTGGTATCTTATGCGGCTATCCGAACTTGTAGGAGCGCGCGCTAAGAAAACCAGTTCAGCAGCGCACCTTTATTTACAAAACAAATTAGGAAAAAAAGAGATATATTCTGGTTTGTTGATAAGGTTGGTTGGTGTATAGAAGAGCTTTGCCCTCGGCTCGGGTATTGTGTGTCAGGCGAGACCGAAAGCACAGTTTTTCCCTTCACGGACCCTCTGGACGACAAGTAACAGCTATTCTTGTTGGCTGGTTGTTTGTTCAAGACCAGTTAGGAAACAAAAAGTTTGGCTTGCCTGTAACTGACTGGAGATGTTTATGAACATGATCCTTTTCTTTATTAAACTTAGGAAATATTAAAGTTTACCCGGCATGAAGAAATTGTCCTAGCAGGTTAGTAGTAATCCATGGGCTTTGTTTGCGCTACGCAGCATCGAATTGTTTCTTACAGTTTTTACAGACAAAAGCTGGAATTAGATAATAGAAACGTATGGCGCGCATTTCCAGTCAGTATTCAAACAACTTTAATATGCAATACATCCATAACTTTTATGTGCCATATTTTTTATTTCCTTTTTGTATATTTTGTATTTTGCATATTTTTATATCTTCCCATTACTTTCTATGTAAGTATTTAGCCCAGTTATCTTTTTCATTGGTCTCTTTATTTTTCATGCGTTCTATACTTTCTATATTTGTTCCATATTTTTCCGTTCCGAGTAGTTTTTTTTAATTTTCGTTCTAATAATATACATGAAAAAATTGCTCGATTCTGATTGGCTGAGAGCAGTGCAGTTCAAGTGTAACACCAGTTCAAAAAGCGTAACACCAGTGTAAAAAGTGTAACACCAGTGCAAATTACACATCGTAATTCTGGATTATGATTGACTGAAAGACAATAGGAAATTTTCTAAGCCAATGATAGGTAAAATGATGACGAAAATTGTTCGGAAACTTTGAAAAGAGTTTTGTCGAATGAGAAAAAATGGCTTCAAGAAAGATCTTCCGGCACTTCCTCCACGCGATTTTTTTCATGTTTATGTTATTAATAAGAAATCATACGGTTTTCCTCGTTCAATTTGGAATTAGTTTGCACTTGCAAATTAATTCCAAGGTGAACATGAAACCGTATGATGACTTTTACTAACTGGAATGCAACAGGTAATCACATGACCGTGATTGGCGGTTACTCACCTCGTACTTTTGTTGCCGATATGTAGTCCAAGTCGGTTGTTTTTAGTTTTTTGCGTTATATGGAGTAGTTATTGACGAGTTGTCAAATCTTTCGAATTCCTTGTTAGCTGACTTGGCCAGCAGCCTTCTAATGTTTGATGCCCAGGGCTTGGTGCCATGCCTGCTTCAACAAGTTCTACCGCTGATCATGAATCACGAAGAAGCTGATACCATATTAGAAGATCCAAAGGTACAATTAAATAACGTTGGTTTTAGCTTTTGCATCAATCTATTGCTTCCTAATGTTTTTGTTTCCTTTCATTGACTGTTACAGTTAACATTCGTTAATAATGTAGCGCTCGTGATTCGCTTGTATCAGAACTTGATACCGATACTCTTTTATTTTCAATCTGCTCTTTATACTGACTGCAACAGACATACTCTACTCGTTGGTTTCAGTGTGTTTTGATTCTTACTCTCTCCAGGGCTGGGCTCTTGCTCGGTTGATGGCACACACGGTGTGCTTAGGGATTACTCTTGAACAAACGCTGTCAAGAGGAGATTTGAAGGATGAGGAAACTGAACGGTGAGAAGTGTTAACAGAATCCTAGATATCTTTCGGTCTCCGTGATACAACAGATATCACAAATTAGTAGATCAATCCGCACATCCTGATTGGCTTGCTAAATTGAAGTTACAGCTGTATCATGCGCCAAAACGTGTTTGCGAACTCAGCTCCAGCTTGCTTGGTATTCAACAATGAATTATTGACTCCAGAGCCGGTGAACTAGAACCACATTCCACTGTCTTCATTAACATGACACTATTCATAAAAGGTAGGATAATCAAGCAAGCAAAATGATTTGAACACGGTGAAATTTAAAGCTTTAACAGCTTGTGGGGCCGTATATAAGTAAACATATAAAAGATAAAAGGTAACATAAGTGCACTTGTTTTCTTTTTCCTTCAATTTCAGCCCTACCAAAATAAAGAGGCTAGACAGTTTCTCTCTTCACAACTCGAGATCTTCATCGCGCGTACAGCAGGCCCTAGGTATGTTCATAATGTGAATGTTGATAACCGCGTCTTATTAGTTAGCCCTGAGGAGTATTGGCCCATCTAACTTCTCTAGATATTCCTGTGTTCGCGTCTTGTACGCAGCTAACCGTCGACCAGGCCCTCTTTTCCCTTGTGGGCCTCTTATGGGGAAGCCTGCGAACGCAGACGTATTTCCGGCTATCGCTTGTCTCCGCCGAAAATAACGTCTGCGAACCCAAGCCAGGAAACGATTTCTCTGACGTAATAACTTTTGTTTCTCCTTGGCCAATCAGATTCCATGATAGAATGAAACTCGAGTGTTACTCGACAAATCAGTGTGCCGACTGATAAAGATCTAAGTGAACCTCTGATCTTACGACTGATGGAAACAGCTACACAAGTTTTAATGGTGTCTACCCTTTTAAATGTGTTAGAATTTCACCGTAATGAGCCATTTGATATTTGAGTACTTCTTGAAAGGAAAAATTTCGATTGAAATTCGTGTAAGTTGTCTTTATTTACATAAGCTTTCAAAAAGATATTTCACGGTACAGTGTACTCACATGTTCGCCGACTGGCTTGAGTTCGCTTCAGATTTCTCGACGTTTCTATAAAATGAAATATCTCACATAACAAGAGAAAACAAGCATTAAAGTTCCTCGAGATTAGTAACACTGGTTATTTAGCGTTGACACAGCAGAGGAAACGAAAGCGAAAACTCACGTTTTCAGACAACGCGAAATGAGCTTCACTCACGTCGGGCCCGAACGCAGAACGTCAAGCTGTTTCCCGCCAATCATGCACAGTGGACCTTTTGGCTTTTCCCTGATCTTATGGCGTTCCCGTCGCCGTCCGCATTGTCGTTGCTTAAAGTCCGTATTTTCGGCGGAGACAAGCGACAGCCGGAAATACGTCTGCGTTCGTAGGCTACTTAGGGAGTCACCTACAGCACATTATTTCCCGCCTTGCTCCCTTTTCTGTCCTCTGTAGTCGCTGTCTAAATAGAATGACGTCTGATCGCAGGTTAGTACTGATACGCGGCCTACTTCTATTAAACAATAAGATTATGAGCTCGAGATTTCTATTTAAACTAGTAGTAATCAGAGATTATGAGAGTGCGTTCGACGCTCTCACTTTAATATATAATTATATATCGTAAATAAATGATTTCACTAGCTGAYTTTCAACCTTTGTCTATTGCTAAAATCAACATTTTTCAGCAGCAACCGAGGTTTTACAGTCAGATATGCATAGTGTCAAAGTCCATGCTAGTGAAGAGGTCACGATTTGTCGATACGTTGCGTGACGCTGCCAGTTTCTGTAGTCTCTCAAGTTTCATAGAATATTTAAATTACGTACATTATTCTAAGCTGGCATTTGCAGTCGCGTGC